ATCAGAGCTGAACAGGTGATGGAGAAACAGGTTTACCTTTTAGGTGACATGAATGAGTTGAAGGGAAGTTATAAGGGAAGGAAGAAATACATGGATACATCCGTAGATTCGAGACAGAATTCACAATGTGTTTTTGGGACTTTCAGGCGTATGGACCAATGTTTTATTTTCTGATCAAACCAGAAAGCTTTAATGAGCAGCTAGACTTGTCTCGCATTAACTGGCTGAGTCAATGCCAGTTAATGCAACGTCAAAGCAGCTGGAATCCACAGCTGTGCGTGTTCATGGAGCTGCATTTTCACCTGCTGGACATCACTACCTGACAAGTTTGACTCTCTTCAAAACATTGCAGAGGCCTTACTGACAGTATTTGGCTCTACATATCTGTGTGAGCAGATTTTCTCTCACATGAGTCCTCGGGTAGTCGTCTGAAAGCTGGATGCTCCTGTGTCTCTGAGTGGGAGACCAGAGATCAGAGTGTATTAACAAACATGCCATATTGACTGACATAGTTTATTTTTCTTATCATTGTTGTGAGGAGACCATAAATAGCATTTGCATTTTCTGTTGTACAGTTCATTTGCTGTTATTGATAAAAGTGTCTTTTTATTTTTTTATGTTTCAAAATAGCTGATAGCTGCGAACATCTGTGAACAAATATAATTATATAAAGTGGTTCTATATAGTGTTTTGTTTTTTGCAATAAAATGACATGAAATTTGTACTTTAGAAGAGTCTTTACAACAGAGTATGTAATTTGGTTAAATGAGCATCTGTCATTACACTCAACTGACTATTGTTTGACTAATAAATAATGCATGTTAACTGAGTTCTCATGTGTCACCCAGTGCACCCAGAGAGAAGTCCATTAAGACAATTCAGGATGAGATCCGCTCAGTTATCAGACAGATAACAGCCACTGTTACTTTCCTGCCCCTGCTGGAGACGCCATGTGAGTAATGAGACTTTTGACATTTGAGCCTTTGATGTGGTGGTTGGGTAATAATTTCAACTCCTCCCCCCTCCCCTCAGGTGCTTTTGACCTCTTGGTTTATACAGACAAGGACCTGGTGGTTCCAGATAAATGGGAAGAATCAGGGCCGCAGACCATTGACCAGTCAGAGGAGGTGCGTTTGCGTTCCTTCACCACTTCAATCCACAAGGTGAACAGCATGGTGGCATACAAGAAGACTGAGTCAGTTTAAACTTCTAAACCACATGAGCTGTTACAGCACCGACCACTGATTCTTATAGAAACCAGTAGATCTAACACTGCCGTGTCTTTGTTCACTGCCTGTGCGTGACTGGACAACAAGGACCTGTTTTCCTTTGTTGAGCTTCACTGTGTCTTGTCAATATGATAAGGACATGAAGGAAATGTGTTCTTTCTACATTGATGTAAATATTTCTGCTAAGTGGCATTTGTCTGTAGAAAACAACTGTCTTTTCTTTAGTCTTTTGCTTTCTTTCATTCTTTCAGTCTCTGTTTTAGAAGATAGTGGTATCTATGTTGAACTTTTATAAAATGACATAAATAAATGCATTTTGCTTTTTCCCAAAGAAGTGATTCTGTGGTTTTCTTTTGTTCAGGAGGTGCCAAGGTTTTTCATTGTGTTATTTATTTTGGAGCATTATATAAAAGATATCACATGGTTTTTGGAGCCTTGAGACGATGTCGTCTTGGGATGCATTTCAATAGTATAAGCTGATCTTTTCATCAAGGTCAAGAAAGAGAAGTTAGTTTGGAATGCACTCTTTTTGTAATGTGTTTTAATAACTGGAAAGCACACTGACATCCATCCATTCATTCATTCATTGGTTAAATTTTTCACCTGCTTGTTTAGTACGTTTGAGAAATTATAGACAGCACACAGGAGACATAGTAAATAAGTATTATTTAATGGGACATACTATTCACTTCGCTCACAGTGTTGAAAGGTGTCGACAGTTGCAGATGTGTAACACCATCATAGTACCGTATCAGCATATTACATTTTGCAAAAGAAAACCCACAATTCTCTTACCTAAAAAAATCCATCTGTCGTGTAATGCCCTCTCATATACATGCAAAAGAAAAAACTGACAACCAAGCAGTGAGGGTTTTTTTTTTTTTTTCTCCAGAGAGCACAGAGGCTAAGCTACAGGCACAAGTAAAATAGTCCTGGAGACTTATTCAATGTACAAATGACAACCACGGACACAAATTAACTTTCTGAGCATGTACATCTACAAAAGTGCTTGAGTTTAAATGAATCTGTCATGTCCATTAGTAAGCTGTTCATTAAATGCACAGACCTCTGTGACTCCTCATCAACAGTTTATTGGCTGGACAATTAACTGTTTTACCAGTTCTGCTGATTTAGCAGTTTCATTTACCAAAACAGAACTTTTTCTTTTCTGCATAAAAAAAAGAGTTCTGAAGGGTAACAGTAGCATCCTTCAAAACTAGATATTAACAAACATTCTAGGTGTACAGAAAAATGTCACAGTAATGTTGCATTTTCTATTTATTCCTAGTGTGGACATGCTGAAATCACTTTTATTGAGGAGTAATTGTTCCTTCTTGCAGGATCAGCAAAAACCTGCATTTCACAAGGTCCAAAGGTACCAGATTGTTCTTTTAAATGTGTTGGTGATGACACCTCGCCTCTTACTACAGACTGAAAACCTCTGCCTCTAAAGGGTGGACAGCAGTGAACCCAAACACATCAAAATGCTGAAACACTTAATATCTTTATCTAATGAAAAAGTTGCTCCTGGATACATTCTGGGTTACATACTGAAATTTTCTGCCAAATTCTGTTGTTCAGTCAGTCTTTGTAGTGCAACAGAAACTGCTCTAAATGTTAAAGAATCCTTTTTTTCCTTGTAGCAAATATCTTGTTTGAACAGATTTTTACATTTACCCATCAGAAAATCAGGTTTACAGAAATAGAAATTATACACCGTCACAATGTATCAGAGCTAGATGCCACCCTCGGTGAGTAAATCATACTTTATATTCTGTAGATATTACTCCGTTGTTCAGTTTGTAAAATTGGTATGCATAAACAGCATTACTGGACATGGATAAATAAAAATAAGTGGTTCTGTAAAACTGAATTGTGTACTTTATCGCAACAAGGCAGTGGCAACATCTAGATCCATTTTCCTTTGAAATCACAGATCTAGTCTTTGGCTCTTCCTACAGCTGGAAAAATAGAAAATCTAAATTCCAAATAACACAATACAGAACATTTCCAAATGTCATCAGAAGAAGCAGTTGTTCCTAAGAAAGGGCCTATAAAAAAAGACGGGATTTTTTTTTCCACATATGAAAACATTTTCTAGATAATTGTGTGCTTTGACAAAAGAATGACCTTACAATATAGACTCTAATAAATATATAAAACAAAAATAAATATGCAATAGTTAAGACAGTGAGTAAAATGTACGAAAGACTCAAACCCACGTCGTGTGTGTGTGTGTGTGTGTGTGTGCCGTGAAGACATATAACAAGTCTATAAGATTATTGTGACACTATGTAAAGTATATAGTAGTTGCATTGTTTTCATCCCACTAGAATGGTGCCAATGGTGCTAAAGCTCCATGAACACTGGAAGCGACATAGTGAATACAGACCATTCAAAGTGAATCACATCCCACAACTTCAAGTGATTACAGATGAAATAACCACAGGCAAATTCTTTGAATGTGCAGGCAGAGTAGAAAGGTGCTAAATAAGAATCAGTCCGTTTACCATTTCCTATTTGCTAAGGGAAGATAATTTTTTTTCAACTTCTAGGCAAGAGACCGAAGCAACTACCAATAGGAATAAAGAATACATATGACCTGGAAGTAAATATGTAGAGCTTCCAGTGTATGCAGCTTAACCATTCAGTGTTCCCTAAAGTTCACTACCTGTCACAGATAGTGTAGGTGAGACCATCAATATGAAAGCCACTCTATGCAAAAATAACAGTGTCTATGTAATAAATATAGCTTAGTGCTGACTTTGTTATTATCTCTGGTGAGTGAGAAAAAAATGGTGGTGACAGGATAAAATGACCATGACCTCAGAAACAATGATTTCTTGTTATGGACACATTTCATTCCTTTCTGTTCATGGTAGGGCTTAGCTGTAAAACTAGCATACAACTTTTTAACGAATGTTCGATAGTGGGGGTGGACAGGTACAACTTTGATGTTATTTCATAGTTTATCTATTTTTATCTGTTGTGAAAAGTACTCACAAGATTTACTGATACTCCGGGAGACAGGAAAAGTGCTGACAAGTCTAGGCAGATTACCAACAAGTCAACTGACTGACTTGTAGATGTTTTTACAGTTTTTTTTCTATCTTACTTTATCTTTTAACTTGTACTCATTGGCATGGCTATGCATGATCGTTTGTAATTTTCCTATATCTGAGCAAACGCTTTGCCGGGTGAGTAGACTTCAGATTACAACAAGGAAAAGAAAGACAAACTGTGAAACCTGACTGCGGCACCTCAACCGTAATAGATTAAGTCTTAAAGTATTAAGACTGCTCAAGGCAAGTGACCTCTTCTATTATCAGACCATAGCTAGTGTTTTATTTCATGATAGGAAAATTACTTTTCTACCTCACTGTCAGTCCACACAATACGCTATTAGATAATTTTAATGAGAATAGGTTGAAAATGTAGAACTCTGGAAATCTGAGTTGGATGAAAACCAAACTGGTGTTTGGATCACACCAAGCCGTTGACAAGCCCCTTCTCACACTCCTCGGCTAAACACTTCCACTGCTGCCGGTTTTTCTGACATCCTTCCAACAACGGGGAGCAATACTCCGATAAGCCAGCCAAGGTCTGTGACAGTGATAAAGACAATTCAGCATGGGAAATCAGAGGCAGAACTGAATGCAGGAAGAATTGCTATTCATCAGCAACACTGGTCAGCAAAAATAGCAAGGGCTGAATTACCTCATATAACTGAATGCAAATGGCATCAATGAAGGACACCTGCATGCTTGGTATCTTATCCCTTTTCTCACGATTCATCAGGTCCTGTGAAAGGATTGAAAAAATGAGATGTAAACTTTATATTAATTAGAGTCATTAATACGTTAACTGTTTTAGCCCCAAAACAGACAAATCTATGAGAAAATTCATATATATGTGTATATATATATACACATACACATATATATACACATACACACACACACACACATATATATATATATATATATATATATAGCCATCTCTCACTCTCTCTATATCTATATATAGATAGATATAGAGAGAATATATATATAGAGCGAGGGAGAGAGAGATTACCACAAAATATGACAATTAGTTACATTTATAATGTGTGTCCAACATCATTTTACAAACAAAATAACTGAGACAAGAAAAGATACAGGTATTTATAGTCATGTAAAAAATAAATTTGACACATAAATGCCCTCCCACTGCTTCAATAGGAATTAAAAAGGTAATTAAAAGAGTGAGTAGAGGCCAGGTGCTGCTTATCAAATGCAATTGATTAACTAATCATGACTGTAAATGCAAATGTTTGTTTATATAGTGTCAAATAACAATAACAGTGATCCCAGGGCACTTTATACTGTAGGACAAAGATCTTGCAATACAGACTGCATAAAGTCTTAAGAAAACATTCTTTTCACATGACTCTAACATCAGCATAGTTCTTGAAAATGTGTTGTGATACTTCATGATTTGAAAGGGAATATATTTAAATGCAGTAGGATGAAATACCAGAGGATTCAGAACAGATTCCTGGGTACTCGATGGCAAATGTTGCGCTGTTGAGAAGGATTTATCCAATATCATTCAAATGAACCCTGAAATTACTTACAATTGGTTCAATGTTCAGCTCTTGCCTCTCCTTATCCCCCTGCTCGAAAAACTCAGTGGCCACCAGCTCTGCTATCTGCATCAGAAACCAAATGCAGAAACATTGAAACATTTTATGAGCTTTTAGTTCTTAAAAGGCAAATTCTATAACACTAAATATAAAACCAAAGATAGAAGCAAAGTAAGCTTTTACGATGGGGTGGCTGTAGCTCAGGAGTTAGAGCAGGGCATCTACTAATTGGAATGTTGGTGATTGGATCTCCAGCTGCTCGAGTCTGTGAGCCAAAGTATCCTTAGGCAAAATAGCAAATGCAAAGCTGCTCTCTGATATGTTCATTGGAGTGTAAATGTGTATGAATTAAATAGAAAGCAAAGAAAAAGTGCTTGTGTGAAGGGATGAATGACCGTTTTGAATACTCAGAGTACAAAAATGCAATATAAGAATCAATCCATTTATAATTTGCTCTGAAAGCATCAATTTTAAATCCTCATTTATTGTTGGACAGAAGACTAAGTTGGGTGAATTGTATACTATGCAAGTCATAGTGTCATTGTAACCTTGGAAACTTTGTGGCATAATTGTGGCAGTTTGAGTTGAAGTACAACACATTAATGAACATCATAAGAAAGAGGTCTCCTACATGGAAATAACAAAATGCTTATACTGCTGCGGGAGGCAGCATCGTTAGAACATTAATATTGAGGAAATGACTGGGAATGACCCAGACAAACCGACAAAGACAGCCTGTGTGACAGCTGGAAGGAAGAAGGAAAATGAAACAAGTGAATAGCAATAGCAAGAGCTCTCCCAAAAGCCCCACACAAAGTTAGTGTTCTCAATTTTTTAACAAAGAGATAAAGAAGATAGGCTCAAGCTCCAATCAACATCACTCTGTGTGCACGTGTTGCTGAAGCCGTCTGCAGCTCTTGATTGAGTTGGTGGTGCTGCAAGGAACGTAAGTACTATGATGCAGTTGTTAATTGTTGAGACTAAGAAGCTTTGCCTTTACTTCCATGATCTATGAAAATATTTTAGCAGTGCTTATGGAGGTTACTTTCACAAACTCATATCATTTCTTTAACCCTTTCATGCATGAATCATGACAACCTCAATCAGGATTATACTTTATTGTTAAAGTATTTTTATTTAGGCATGAAAAAAAGATTTTTGAAATTATTTTTTTTAAACAGGTACTTTTTAAATAGTTTTTTACTTGTCCACTTAGGTGAACAACATCACTTTTGGAGTGGGTGGCAGAGTATGGAGTGACACATCAGTGTCCAATGTAGTGGTTTATGTGCAAATATACCATCAACACTGACACAAATACAAGAAAACAGCTTTTGAATAGCTGTCCACTGTAGTGACCACTATGCGTGAAAGGGTAAAAGTAAAGCACAGTTTGGCTCTTTGGTTATTTAAGGTTTTAAGGTTTCAGTGATAACCTTAAATGATTATAATGACTTTAACTGACTGAAAAAAGTATGACTGGAAGTTTCAGATTTAGAGCTAGTCTAAAAAACAAAAACAATATGGCAGATCAGCCTAAATGCTGGGAAAACACCATTAGAATCAGTCCAGAATCCAAAACCATTGGGTGACGTCACAGTGAATATGTTAATCTTTATATAAAGTCTATGGATGGAGGCTGTGAAAGTAAAACAGACCAGGGAAGGAGGGCTATGGGTTTAGTGCAATCTGTTAATGAGGAGCAGGTGATTTGCCAGAGTGTGTGTAAGTCAGGGTATGTACTTGTTTGCTGCCCTGAATGTTTTGTTTTGTTTTTTAGAGCTGTCATCTGAGGACAGGGCCCAGCTGTTTTTATTAACAAGCTCTCATTTATCAGCACTCTCATACACACACACAGAATGTTTATCTGTATAACAATTCCTCTGGGCCTGAGTTTCCTAACAAGGCACAGACTAATGAAGGTCACTGGGGGACAGCAGAGACACTACAGCATTGAATATAGTGCACGCTCACGTGTGTGTGTGTGTAGTAGGTCAGTGATTAAGAAAAAAAGAGAAAACAAGGAGGAGCTCTGAAAGGTAATTAGAGTAAGAAATTGTAGGATCAGATGTGAATAACAAAGAATACATTTTAAGGCACGTTGCACCTCAGGTCACAGTCAGCAGGGCTCTATTCCAGGAAGCTTGTTTTATATATATATATATATATATATATGTATATATTTTTTTTTTATGGTGTCTGCTGTTATCATTTACCCAACTTGAATTTTCATAAGATGAAGCTGGAATTCTGTTTCTTTATGTTTGATTTGTTAAATGTAATGATTCAATTGAGACAAAATGCAGGTGACAGAAACTGAAGATAAAACCTGAAGATCCACCCTCGAATCAGCTTTTGTGACAGTCTGACTATTTTCTTGTTCCAATGATCAGTAAAAATGTAATGACATAATGTAAGAAATGTACTTGTGTTCCTTCCTTCCTTTGAATTGTACTTACTGAATGAAAGTGCTCCATGAGATTTAGAGAAAAACTTTAATGTTGCCCAGTTTAACCATTTATACTGATAAAGCCTTCAGCTTCCAGGCCTGGATTTCTACATTTAAGATAAAACTTGAAACTTTTCTTTTTGATAAAGCTCATAGTTAAGTATGGATCAGGTGACCCTGAATCCTCAGTTAGTTACACTTCAATAGGTCTAGGCTGCTGGGAGTTTCTCGTGATGTACTTCCTGTTTCTTCTTTACTCACCTTTTTAGATTTCATTTCATTTAATCATTAGTTATTATTAATCTAATGAATGAATGAATGAATGAATGAATCAGGATGTCACACAGCCAGCTCAGAAGGGGAGGAGTCAGAGACAAAAACTTGTGCTGGCAAAATTTAGTTCAGACTCTGTTACCCCAGTAACTGACACAGTTGAAGTTAACTCTCTTTCCCTGAGTTTCTCTCATCTTCTGCAAAGCAGAAGTGTTAACTGTCTTGATACTAAGGAACTTAATTATTTTTGTATCATCAATTTAACTAAGATTTTAAATTATATTATACAAATTAACTAGCAGTTATAATCTATTTTTAAAATTTGGTTTGTTTCATTTTGAATTTTTGATTTTTTTTCTTTTAATATCTCATCGAAACACTATGCAACTACATAAATACACAGAAAAGCAGCGTACCAACATACAGACAGGTAAAGGTTGCGGGTTTTTTTGTTTGTTTGTTTGTTTTTTTACCCTTTTTTGTACTGGCCAGGGCTTAGTGATGGCAGAGATGTCACATGCAGTCATCAGCATTGACCTGAAGGGGGTGACAAAGTTACAGACATTACATTTCCACAGACACACTAGTTTCTCATAGCAGGAGAAACTATGGACTTGTTACCATGGTATTGCCAGGTTTGAATATAAGGTTTACATATAGCAAAACCTAAAACTTTGGTCTTAACCCATATCTGGCAACCTATAATGCAAAGAATGCCTGCATTGATGGCTAAGCCATTTTTCTTGAAGAAATGGTTTCAACACATAACAACTTTTACAACTATATGTTGATCAATAGAAGTGTTAATCATCACGCTGTCATGATGCTTTTTTACTTTTCAGACTCCCTCACAAACATTTATCTTATGTTGATGTAAATGTTAATACAGGCATCTGAGACTCTATACTCACCTCAGCAGGTCTCTGTGGTGTTCATCCTCCCAAACAAACTGGTTGTTCTTGGTCAGCTCAAAGAACTCCCCTCGCCTCCTGACAGCACACACCCACATGAACAATGTCACAGCAGGTAATTATCCTCATATATAACCCACTTAGCCCCCAAACCACCCACTGTCTAGACTAAAAGTGGCTAAGATAAGAGCTGAAGTCACTGAGGTAGTAGGAGGGAGTTAAGAAAAAACATGAATGCATTAAGATGTAGTAGAAAATTGTCACCCCTCTTTTCAGAAGACTGGGTATAACAACCAACACTGTGAAGCCACCCTTAAAATGCCACCAGTTCAAACGTACTTGGCAGGTAAATTGCTTGAGTACTTATACAGTCTGTATTTTATTTTCATTTTAACTTTTAGCTGCTCTGGGGCTGTAGACATACATGAGTTCTAAGCCAATTATATTACAAAGAAAGAAAATACCCCCTTTCCATCCACCCACCCACACCACCACACCCACACACAAATGCACACTCACCAGAAGAAAGACACAACTTTTAAACACTAAACTTGTATCTAGACCTACAGAATTACTATAAGGGGCGAGTAGTGAGTAGATCTTAAGTAATGAAGGCGTTAACAGTCACAAGGTGAGTGTAATCTCAATTGTACTCAATTTTGCACTGATTAAAAACCTTTAAAATACTGCTTTTCTTCGTCCATTCTTTTCCTCTCATTCAGTCTCCATTGAGGCTTGATGTTTAGTACTTACTTCATGTACAGGGCGAGGTCAGTGGCCAGAATAGCCCTTTCAATCATCTTCAGAGTGGCCTTGTACTCGTCCAGAGAAAGGCCGCTCAGGATCTGGTTTCCCTGGAGAGAGAGTGACAGAGAGAAAACAGTGTAAGTGCAGGAAAAGCTCTGCATGCTATATCATGAGTTATACTCATACTGAGTTGCTGGGTGGGAGTTTAATTTTCATGTCCTCGCAGTAAGGTAGCAAAAGAGCTAACTGCAGGTTTCACTACTAAGGTTTTACTGTGGCAATTGCAATGATTGCAAAAAAAAACTATAAACAGAGTGTTTATATGCAAATGTTGACACATCATTACATGTCCCTTCAATGCTGAGCACTGTTTAGTGATTACTTGCATTACGGCTTATCACACTACATATGATAAGGTGTCTGTATCCCTCCATCTGTGTTTATGTGTGCAGCAGCAGTGGCCTTAAGTGGTGTTTGTGAAGTTGGGAGTGTATTTAGAGTTTGCTTTAAGGCCATAGAAATCAGAGCAGGGTGTACTTCTCTGCATTTTATTGGACCATTTGAGAGATATGTGGTAGGCTAGCAGCTCAAAAATAATACGCGTAATAAATAAAATGGGGATATTCAGCAGAAGAGGGCAATGGCATTAAAATAGCTATCCACTATCAAGCAACTGGGTCTATAGTGTAAATCTTTTGTTAAAGGTCAGGGTAGGGTTAGCTGTCTGATTCTGTCTGATTCTCTACGTAATTATTAAAATTAAATGATACTGTGTTCAATGCAATTTTCTGAGAAAAGACTGAAAGTAGTGAAGCTGCAGTTCTACAGCTAATAAATAGTTAGCCGCAGTCATACACAGTCCCATTTGTAATATTCTCAGGCAAGTTAGCACCTGCTGCACATTTGATTTCCAAAAAGATTTTTAATATATTAAAAAACTGTAGTACTCTGTAGTACTGTGCAGTGATTCTTGCATAATAAACAAAGTTCATTGCAAGAACTTTAAAATGATTTTCCTCCCAACAGGTGCAGCAGTGAAATGGTAAATATATATGTGTCTGTGCTTCACTGAATTACTCTATGAGCATGGGCAAAAGTTTGTGGAACATCTAGGTATCTCAATAAGGTACCGCCTTGTAGGAAAGCTGTTGCTAAGGAGGTTGAGCAGGTTTTCCACCAATTAGAAGGTTGGTGGTTTGATCCATGGACTCTGTGTCATGGTCTCCGTGCCTGCCCGGCCGGCCCCACAAGGCTACATGTGCTGTTTTGGTTCTCTCTCCCTCTCTCTCTCTGCCTGGGCGGAGCTCACTGTGGGCTCCCGCCCTTGGTCCACACACCTGACAACAATCACCTGTCATCACCGGGAGCACTATTTGAGGCTGGAACACAGATCCTCTCGTCGCTGGATGATTGTACTACTGACGTTAGTGTTTCTCGCAGCTCCTGTGAACTCGTGCTTAGTAATTTGAGATTCGTGATTAGTTTGTGACTTCCCTTCTCTTCTGCTTCAGACCTTCCTCCCCAGACCTGTGACCTCCCTGAACATGTGTGAGTGCGGGCAAGAATACGTGAGCAAATGTGAGAGAGCTACCCTGTGATTCCCTGGAGTTTTGGATTCCCTTCACTGTATATACTGTGCACTGGTGCTGTAAATAAACTGTTTTTTGGAGACGTCTAACCGCTCTGCGCCTGAGTTCCTACAACCAGATTGTGACACTCTGCATGCAAAAGTATTCTTGAGCAAGATAAAGAACTCCATTTAAGATTTTGATTTGGTATCTATGTCTTCATCCCAGTGTCTGACTTAACCCTGAGCGAGGGGAGTTCACACTTTGAGGAGATCTTTCAGGATATGGAGTTTGTTAGGACAATGCTATCTCCTATTGTTATCTACACATTCAGGGTGAAACAATCATGTAAAAAAAAATATATATTCAGTTCTCTGATAAGATAAATATACCTCAAGATTCAATAGCCTGTAAAACCACCTATAGCAATAAGTTAAAGATTATGACTTTATCAGTCTGTCACATAGTTGTGGAGGAATTTTTCCCCCAGTCTTCTTTACAACATTGCCTCAGTTCATTGAGGTTTGTGGGTATTGGATTACATATAGGTTTCTTAAGGTGTCACCACAGCATTTCAATCAGGTTGAGGTCTCGATTTTGAGCCACTGCAACACCTTAATTCTTTTATTTCTAACCCTTTTGTTGTATATTTGCTGGTGTGCTGGGATCACTGTTCGCTTGCATGCCCGAGTTTTTGCCCAATCTTTAGCTGTCAGACAACTAGCGTCATATTTGACTCTAGAATAAAGCTGACTTAATGACTGCAAAGCTCAAATCATTACCCTTCCACCACTGTGCTAGGCAGTTGGTATGACATGTTTATGCTATATTTACCAAATGTGGCACTGTGCATTATTGTCAAACATCTCTACTTTGGGCTTGTCGGTCCAAATTACATTGTTCAAGAAGTCCTGTGGTTTTATTCAGATGAAACTTACCAAACCTAAGCCGTGCTGCATGTACATAACCTACAGGACAACCTAATGTAAAACTCCCAAGAAAGATAACTACACATTGGATCAACGCAGCCCGAAACTATAGTGATTACACTATTCAGTTGATTCCTCCTGTCTATTTCCGGGTACTTTTTCACAATTTATAAATTTATCAGTGAGAGAATAACAATCATTGCCTCAATATGAGAATAATAATCATAGCATCAATATAAGGACTCACAAATGT